GGCATGGGCGATGGGGGCTTGGAGTAGATCGTCTCATGGGAACTACATCCCGAATCCTGGGAGGACGCGCTGACCAAGCGCTGGCCACCGCCGACGCTCTGTGGGAGGCTGCGATATCGACACGTGGAACCCGGTGAGTGGGGGTGCGAGGCAGCTTGCCAGGAGGGGGTAGTTTTTGTACTGTGATAAATGGTCAGAGCATTGGTGAGGTAAGAGAGGTGAGTACTGGGTACAGGGGGTCTAGGACAGAGCTCCTCAGCTGAGGGGTGAGTACTGGGTACAGGGGGTCTAGGTCAGAGCTCCTCAGCTGAGGGGTGAGTACTGGGTACAGGGGGTCTAGGACAGAGCTCCTCAGCCGTGTGGAGAGGACAGGTACAGGGGGTCTAGGCCAGAGCTCCTCAGCTGAGAGGTGAGTACTGGATACAGGGGGTCTAGGCCAGAGCTCCTCAGCTGAGAGGTGAGTACTGGATACAGGGGGTCTAGGTCAGCGCTCCTCATCCGTGAGTACTGGATACAGGGGGTCTAGGTCAGAGCTCCTCAGCTGAGGGGTGAGTACTGTATACAGGGGGTCTAGGTCGGAGCTCCTCATCTATGAGTACCGGATACAGGGGGTCTAGGTCAGAGCTCCTCATCCATGAGTACTGGATACAGGGGGTCTAGGTCAGAGCTCCTCATCCGTGAGTACTGGATAAAGGGGGTCTAGGACAGCGCTCCTCAGCTGAGAGGTGAGTACTGGATACAGGGGGTCTAGGTCGGAGCTCCTCATCCATGAGTACTGGATACAGGGGGTCTAGGCCAGAGCTCCTCAGCTGAGAGGTGAGTACTGGATACAGGGGGTCTAGGCCAGAGCTCCTCAGCTGAGAGGTGAGTACTGGATACAGGGGGTCTAGGCCAGAGCTCCTCAGCTGAGAGGTGAGTACTGGATACAGGGGGTCTAGGCCAGAGCTCCTCAGCTGAGAGGTGAGTACTGGATACAGGGGGTCTAGGCCAGAGCTCCTCAGCTGAGAGGTGAGTACTGGATACAGGGGGTCTAGGCCAGAGCTCCTCAGCTGAGAGGTGAGTACTGGATACAGGGGGTCTAGGCCAGAGCTCCTCAGCTGAGAGGTGAGTACTGGATACAGGGGGTCTAGGCCAGAGCTCCTCAGCTGAGAGGTGAGTACTGGATACAGGGGGTCTAGGCCAGAGCTCCTCAGCTGAGAGGTGAGTACTGGATACAGGGGGTCTAGGCCAGAGCTCCTCAGCTGAGAGGTGAGTACTGGATACAGGGGGTCTAGGCCAGAGCTCCTCAGCTGAGAGGTGAGTACTGGATACAGGGGGTCTAGGCCAGAGCTCCTCAGCTGAGAGGTGAGTACTGGATACAGGGGGTCTAGGCCAGAGCTCCTCAGCTGAGAGGTGAGTACTGGATACAGGGGGTCTAGGCCAGAGCTCCTCAGCTGAGAGGTGAGTACTGGATACAGGGGGTCTAGGCCAGAGCTCCTCAGCTGAGAGGTGAGTACTGGATACAGGGGGTCTAGGCCAGAGCTCCTCAGCTGAGAGGTGAGTACTGGATACAGGGGGTCTAGGCCAGAGCTCCTCAGCTGAGAGGTGAGTACTGGATACAGGGGGTCTAGGCCAGAGCTCCTCAGCTGAGAGGTGAGTACTGGATACAGGGGGTCTAGGCCAGAGCTCCTCAGCTGAGAGGTGAGTACTGGATACAGGGGGTCTAGGCCAGAGCTCCTCAGCTGAGAGGTGAGTACTGGATACAGGGGGTCTAGGCCAGAGCTCCTCAGCTGAGAGGTGAGTACTGGATACAGGGGGTCTAGGCCAGAGCTCCTCAGCTGAGAGGTGAGTACTGGATACAGGGGGTCTAGGCCAGAGCTCCTCAGCTGAGGGGTGAGTACTGGATACAGGGGGTCTAGGCCCCGGGGCCCCGCCTTGGCATGGATGAGAGGCACCGCCCTAGATAACAATGTGCATTAATGAGGAGGAGAAGTTGCTGCTCTCCAGCTATGGTGGTGATATGGAAACCATCGCAGACCCCCATATCCTCTGCTGGCAGCGGGGGGGTCCAGGCTGGCTTTATATGATTGGACAATGGGGGAGGGGAGGGGACTCAGGTATACTCACCTGCACATGCTGGACTTGCGAGATCCCGAGCTGCTGGGAGAAGACGGAGGCGTCTGATAGGACCAGGAATAGTCCGACCCCTTCAGATCCTTAATGACCTGCAACACGGGACACACATGACGTCTCATTATTCAATCTGTACAGAGGAGCTTACACTCTAATGTCCCCTCCCCCCACCCAGTCACATCAGTCCCTGTACAGAGGAGCTTACACTCTAATGTCCCCTCCCCCCACAGTCACATCAGTCTCTGTACAGAGGAGCTTACACTCTAATGTCCCCTCCCCCCCCCACAGTCACATCAGTCTCTGTACAGAGGAGCTTACACTCTAATGTCCCGCATAGTCACATCAGTCTCTGTACAGAGGAGCTTACACTCTAATGTCCCGCATAGTCACATACATGTAGATGCTTAGTAGGTCTGTCCTGGGTGGTCTGGGAGTCGGTGGCATCCAATGTCGGTCTGGTGGGTATATTCTGTCTGAGCGCTCAGATTAGGTGATTGGTCAGATTGGGTCGTCCTTGTTCCCGGCACAGGTCACCCGGATGGACCATAGACGGACGGTGCCGGATGGGCGCGCGCTCTCCATGGTGTCATACACAACCAAATCTCACCTGTTCGCTGGCGGCAGGAAGTTTATGAGGCTCATCACTCAGCACCATCAGATCATCAATGATTGCCTGCAGGTGGGTCACCTCTCCCAGAAGATGGATCTCACCCGTCTGAAACAAGAGGACAACGCGTGACCAGGATTCGGGGTGTATAGTCCCCATCCAGGGTCTCACCACCCCCATGTGACTCTCAGCTCCCTCTCCTCCGGTG